TTAGTTATAAAAACACAACATTAATATTTGTATATATAATATATATACTGTATATATATATATTATTATTTTTTACTCTTTCCAAACTGTCTGCTATAGTTGAAATGTGTTTGTAAAGATCATATCACTCACTCACCAGTCTAATATAGTGAAAGGTTCTGAGAACAACGATCATGAAACGCTCTTCTTACCTATATGCTGTTGGAAGGAGGAGCTAAATGTTTTCATTACCCAGTTCCTGCTATATATGAGTTAGTTTCATCTTAGAGAGAAATGTGCAGCATTGATTCTCATTGTCAGTTTTGTCCTTTTATTGGTCAGATGTTGTCCCTGGTCTTGATCATTATTTTTCTGTTCAAAGGTCAGTTATTCATATATACTTCATGCAGTTTTTTTTGTTTTTTTTTTACTTGTAATTCAAAGGTTATGTAAATTCTGTGTGAACAACACATGCATGTTAATTTAAGAAATAATCTACACAGCATTGTTGTTGTTGTTGTTTTTTACACAGAGAATGCTGATGCAAATACAATAAACCCACTGGTCCCAGAGAAGCACATTACAGCAGGAGACAATGTTACCCTCTCCTGTGAATACAGTGGCATTGTTAACACACTGCAGTGGTATCAGCAATATCCAGGATCCCGAATAGAGTTTCTCATTTTTGCCACTGAGCTCAGTGGCCAGTCAGAGCCTGCACTTCGACTTTCATCTACAGCTGATAAAGGCAACAAACATATGCATCTGAACATCTTTTTAACAGAAATGGAAGATTCTGCAATATACTACTGTGCTCTGGTGCCCACAGTGACAGGAAACACTGCAACACTGTACAAAAACCTGAAACCAGTACTAGCAGCAGATTTCCACACACATTAAGTGTGATCACTCCACTTGAATAAAATAATAAATAATATGAAAGTAGTGTTTCAAAATATACATTTAAATTTATAAATGAAATCAAACTAAGTACCTCTGAATATGAAATGACTGACATTAGGCAATGGCCGAAAAAATGATATTTCAGGAAGGTAATATTTATAGATTAATTAATTACAAGGTACAATTTACTCTATATATTTTTTTTTTGTGCACGTGAAATATTTCTTATGCATGTGAATTGGGTTACGCATGTGTGCACCGCGTCTTTTGCGTGAATTATTATTGAGATCATTCTGGCTCCATATGTACCCAATATTTAAAAAAATTGACAAATGCAATAAAAATATCAGTATAGGTACTCGGTATCGGCAAGTACCAAAAATAAAAGTATCGGTATTGGGCGAGTACTGGAAAAAGTGGTATCGGTGCATCCCTAACTCTCAATAATCAAATAAATTCTTAATAACCCCTTAAAGAATAGGAGTGTGTATGAGATGTTTGATCAATGGGGTTTGCAAACCGAGAACTGATGCTTCTCATTCAGAACTGGTTCGTTTAAAAGTCAATCAATCTATCTATCTATCTATCTATCTATCTATCTATCACATAAAACAGGCATTACATATTCAGGTTAAAGAACAAATAACTCTTATGTGCTGGTTCTTTTTAGTAAATCAAAAAAGTACAATCAGTATAGTCTGATTCCTGGATGAATTAGTCAGTTTTTGTAGTGAAACAATCACATAGTTACATCTAAACTACTGAGAGATCAATTTGAAAAAGTGCTGTTGAATTATTTTTGTTTCCCATCCCTGCTAGAATAAAACTTATGTAATCCTTCAAAGCTGTCAGAAGGAGGAGCTCTTTGAGAGTGTATTTTTCATTCCTGACAGCTAAGTGTGCTGTCATTCTGTTAGTTAAAACATCATTATGTGGGTCTATTTACTATTGTTCCTTTCAGCACTTGCAGGTAAGAATGCTTTTCTTTCCATATTAATTCTTCATATAAAAATGTAATTCATTAACATTTTAAATGATTTATACATATCTATGAATACATATTTGTTTGACAGGAGACTCTCTTGGGGATCTAATAACTTCTCATGATTCTGAAAAACAAGCTCAAGATGGTAACAGTGTTACTCTCTACTGCAACTACACTGGTGCTGTATATAATCTACTGTGGTATCGTCAGTATCACAGATCCAAACCAGAACTCCTTCTCTCCATGACTGAATCTGGAGATCCAGTTAAAGCCGATCCATCAGCCCACTGGTTATCAGCTAAAGTTGACAAACACAGAAAGCTCATGGAACTGGAAATCAGCCCTGCTAAAGTATCAGACTCTGTACAGTATTACTGTGCCCTGGTGCCCACAGTGACAGGAAACCTTTTTCCTCTGCACAAAATCTTGCCAATGGTATAGCTTAACATTTCAAAGCTCATAGGCTGGCTGACAAATTATTTCCATTAACTGATATTTGACTTTTATTCAACTGTTTTATTTATTTATATATTTATTTACTTACTCTATTTTCTTTCAGTCAGAAAGCTGTAGCTTTGACAAAATAATTGCTATATTGTCTGTGTTGGTCTGATATAAAAACATAACAATACTCATCTAAACATTTAAATAGGTATAATGGTAGAAACTATTCCTTTCCTTTGCCTGAAGTGAGCAAGGACAGGACATAGTATGTGGGAGGAGCTCAATGTTTGACTTCAGCAGAACAAATCAAAGATACAACACTGACTTACCTTCATACAGATACTGATAGAATCCAGAACTAAAATGTTTCTCATCTATTCTCTTTTAATATTTATCCTAAGCTACAGTAAGTACAATCACTTATATTCTACACCTCAAACTAATGAAAGAATAAGCTATTTATCAAAGCAATGCGAATTTAAAATGTAAAGCTATAACAAAAATGGCTTTCTTTGCAGATGTGAGAATGTCAACAGGCCAAATGAAACATCTGTAGTTTTAACTGAAGGACGCAGCACCACTCTGTCCTGTTCATATGATGGATCAGCTTACAGTCTACACTGGTATCGGCAGAAGCCTGGATCAAAACCAGAGTTTCTGCTGCTGATTGTGAGGTCTACTAAAACTGTAGTTTCAGCTTCTCCACCTCATCCACATATGTCCATCAGACTCAGTAATAGTAATGGTGTGGATCTGGAGATCTCCTCTGCTGCTGTATCAGACTCTGCATTGTACTACTGTGCCCTGGAGCTCACAGTGACAGAAAAACAAACTACACTGTACAAAAACGGTTTCCTTTTCTTTGCTATACAGTTGGATTTCTAAATACCAGAGCTATTCTGAACTCCCAATCTACTGGAATATTTAAATCCTCTGGAAGTTGTGTTTTTAACTAAAAGAGGTTGTATTGAACTAAAAAGCTTAGACATGCAATGACATGGAAATAGACATGCAATCTTTAAAATAAAAACATTGTTTTCATCATGTTACTGTACAATAACCTTGCAATATATTATTTGCAACTTTTGAAACATCCAGGAAAAAGCTGTTAATGTTTAAAATGCGTTTCATTTGTCTAATTTACACTAGTGAGCCTCAATTTAACATGCAGTCTGCCAGAAGGTGGCGCTCTAGGTTCAGTCATTTCAAAACAGCACGCAGACTAGGGATGGGCAATAACTTATTTTATTTTCGATCCGATACCGATATTTTCAAGCCCAGTATCATCGATATCAGTACCGATACCTCTAAACTAAACTGATCTTTTAAATTATTAAAAGAATATAATCAGTAATTATACTCACTTAATATTAGATTTTAAAGCCATGTTTTTTATTTTTTATTTTATAGGCATTTTTTGTTTACACTGTCAGAAATAAAATATACTATAACTGAATTTTAGCCGTTTACTGGGGCAGTAACCTCAAAGGTGCAACTATACCCCTAAAAGGGAGCATATTAGTACCATACAAGTATGCATGCTTTAAGGGTAGATAAGTTACAAAGGTGCACCTTTGAGTGTACCTCATGAAAAATAAACATAAGTACTAAAATGTATTATTATTATTATTATTACCATGGTAAATTTGTGGTTACTGCAGTTTTACTACAAATACTGTGGTAAACTGTGGTTACTGTAATAAAACCATGGTTAATTTTTGTAAAAGGCTGCCAGGCTGTTGTACCCCTAAAGGTGAAACTTTAGCTTATTTCTTTCTGGCAGATTTATTAACAGCAATTACAGACCATAACACAATCCATTTGAACTTTTAACCAGTTTAAATAAGTTTATTTGCACAAACTAGCCAATTTAAAATAAATATTACATGTACACAAAAGTTTGGGGTCAGTAAGATTTTGTAATATATATATTTTTAAGTTTCATGCTCACCAAGGCTGCACTTATTTTAAAAAACAAACAAACAGTAAAAGCAGCAATATTGTGAAATATAAATATTTTCTATTTTAATATATTTTAAAATGTAATTTAAAATGCATCTGTGATCAAAGCTGAATTTTCAGCATCATTACTCCAGTCTTCAGTGTCACATGATCCTTCAGAAATCATTCTAATATCATTTGCTGCTCAAGAAACATTTATTATTATTGCTGCTTCATATTTGCGCAGAAACCGTGATGCATTTTTCAGAATTAATTTTATATATAGTAACAATGTTATGTAGGCTAATGTAATAATGTGGCAATTGTTTCTTAAGATCTACTTATGCTTCTGATGCTTTTGGGAAACGCAGCCCTATTTGAACAAGCACTGTGAGCCATGCGTCAGCAGCGAACGCTGTCTGTGATTGATTGGTTCCGTCTTTCAGCATTTGCGTGTGTTCCGATGAGCAGGATAAATGGTTCTGTCCTACACAATTATTCGCTAATATAGTCTATTTTTCCACTTGGAAGCTTATTTTATGCACCGAATTTCTTGATAAATAAATAAAATTAATGGTTAAAAATGCACTTTAGAATTGATATTTTGATGTGAGGATCGATCCTTTCGATATAACATCAGTATCGAAAGTATCGATACTTAAGGATCGATCCGCCCATCCCTAACGCAGACATAAATTGAGTTAGTTGAGGAAAGTCACAAAGGCCTTTTTGTTTCTTGCTGGTGTAGATGTTTCTCCTGGTTCTCTTGATATTTTCTCCTCTTAAGGGTAAGTGATTTATAAGAATAACTTCCAAATAGAAAAATACTAATTTTGAATGTTAATGTGTCAATAATAATAACTGCTTACACTTTTTTTTTTTTGAAACAGAGAATGCTGATGCTGAAGTGATAACACCATTCCTCACAGAGCAGTATGTTTTGGCAGGAAAAGATATTACTCTTTCCTGCAACTACAGTGGCTATGTTCAGAATTTACAGTGGTATCGTCAGTATCCCCGATACAAACCTGAGAACATAATTTTTCACACTGAGAGCAACGGTCATTCAGAGCCCAAGCTTCGTCTGTCTTCTGTGGCCAATAAAGGAATTAAGCTTATGAATTTGAGCATATCTACTACAAAGCTGGAAGATTCTGCTCTGTACTACTGTGCCCTGCAGCCCACAGTGACAGGAAACACAACTGCACTGTACAAAAACTTTCTTATGGCCTATTCTTACTAGGAGGTGCTTTCACACCAGTCACAGTTTTCCCCAGTTGTCTTTCCTGACTGATACAATGTGATGCACTTTTCTCAGAAAAATGTGACCACAATATTTCTCACGAAATATCAACTCTGCTGCTGCATTAGTTGATTACGTTTTTGCCAGCTTCCCAATGTTATGAACAGATATTTGTAGAATGCGAATTTAGCTGACAAAGAGCCTCGTAAATACAACAACGGGTTTGTCCTGGGGATGCAGCAAGTCTGACACTGTGTTCATGTTCTTATACTTGTTGAAATGTTACAATAACGTACATTACACATTATACTACATAAAGCTGTGGTTTTTATAAAAATGGGCACGCCGAGTGCTTGTGCTCTTGATTAATATTCATTCATATTGCTTCATAGCATGAAAAGATAATCTCAATGGCTTCTTTACTACGCTACTGCTGATGCCTGATGTAATGCACTACTTGCTTGTGAATTATTAGAAAGTACATTACATAGCCTACATAATAGTACAAATAATGCAAACCCACATTAGAAACTATTTACACAAAATAATGGAATCATGACCCCTGCTTAAATAGTTTAAAATGTAATAATTGCAAGACATTTCAGGAAAATTTTAGGTAAAGCACACCATTTATATATATATAAGTTTTATATATAAACTTTTTGCAAGTTCCCATGTGTAATTTTAGACACACCGATGTCACTGTAACAATCAATATTCTTGAATATGTGCATTATTCTGCCAGAAGATGGAGCTCTAGGAATCCTTCCACTCTTGAGTTCAGTTGTTCAAATGCAGAGCAGACAAACATTAACATGCATTAACTCTAGGAGGGAACTGAAAGTCTTGTCTCTCATTAGTGCAGATGTTATGGAGCTCTAGGAATCCTTCCACTCTTGAGTTCAGTTGTTCAAAAGCAGAGCAGACAAACATTAACATGCATTAACTCTAGGAGGGAACTGAAAGTCTTGTCTCTCATTAGTGCAGATGTTGCTCCTGGTATTCATTATATATTCTCTTCTAAAAGGTGAGTGATTTATAAGAATTACTGTGGAAGTGTTCTCTCCATATCCTGTTGACGGTCTAAATTTACTCCATTACAAATACCAAATTACATTTTTAAACAGAGACTGCTGGTGAAGATGTCTTAAAACCAGTCTTCACAGAGAAGCATGTTTTGGCAGGAAAAGATGTTACACTGATCTGCAACTACACTGGAAATCTTCAGAATCTGCAGTGGTACCGTCAGTATCCCGGATCCAAACCTGAACACCTAATTTTATACCTTGAGACCATCCCCAAATCAGAGCCCGCTCTCCGTCTGACCGCTGTAGCTGAGAAAGCAGCCCAAAGTATGAATCTGACGATCTCTTCAACAGAAGTGAAAGACTCTGCCGTGTACTACTGTGCCCTGGTGCCCACAGTGACAGGAAACACAACTACACTATACAAAAACGTAACGAGCAATGATATTAAACAGAAGATCATGATTTAAAAACATTATATTCAATATTTGCATTGGCACTGTACGACTGTCAAAAGTTTCAAGCATTAATTTGCTGCTCATATCTGTAAAAAGTAGTCTGATACTGTCAATGGTTGATATTTCAGAGAATCAGGGCACACAGTTGTACTTTTAAAACATATTCCAACATGTAGCAGCTAAGTGTCCATTTAATAAAGAATGTAATATTAGATAAATTAGACTTACACAACATCATTTTTAGTTTGTATACATCTTCCTATACAGTCAGTTATTGGTAGGGTGAGACGAGTAAGAAGGTATGTGTGGGAGGAGCTCAGTATTTTGTAAACTCCAGCAGAATAAATCAGAGACAACACCTTCATACAGATCCTGATAGAAGTCTGAACTCAAACTACAGAATCATGTTACTCATCTCTTCTGTTTTAATATTTATCTTCAGTTACTGTAAGTAGTATTACTCATATATATTTTGCATTGTATTCCAGAACATCACAAAAATACCTGTATGTAAGAATACCTGTTTGTTTTGTTGTAAATAAAATTTTGTTGTAAATGCCCATTTCATTGCTTGCTTCTTTAATGTATTTGCAGGTGAATCTAATGGAAATGTCATCCGACCAAACCAGCCGTCTGTAGTTTTAACTGAAGGAAGCAGCACCACTCTGTCCTGTACATATGATGGATCAGCTTACAGTCTCCACTGGTATCGACAGAAGCCTGGATCAAAACCAGAGTTTCTGCTGCTGATTGTGAGGTCTACTAAAACTGTAGTTCCAGCTTCTCCACCTCATCCACAAATGTCCATCAGACTCCATGATAACAAAAGTGTGGATCTGGAGATCTCCTCTGCTGCTGTATCAGACTCTGCCATGTATTACTGTGCCCTGCAGCCCACAGTGACAGGAAAACAAACTACACTGTACAAAAACCTTCTTGTCATTTGTCTGTTGCATAGGTGCATGATCTGCTGCATATGTTGCATATGATCTCTTTGATTTCCATTATGCTGCTGATCTAATTTGACATTTAAACATACGTTACTGGCCATTGGTAATTACTGACCATTAGCAGATTGAATTTCCCTCAAACACAAAAAAATATAATTTAGGACTATAGTCATAATCAATACAAAAATGGACTATGAATTATAAAGACAAAAAATAATCCCCATTCAGGATAAAAGAAATTCAATTGGTTCCTTTAACTAAAGCTTAGAATAAATTCAAAAGTTGTTTAAGACACATTTCTCTACGATAAATTACTAGAATTTATCAAATAGGACATTATCAAAATAACTACACTATAGATGCATTTAAAATATTTTAAATATCTTGCCACATTAAGGTTATACAAGAGGTTTCCAGAGAGTTTATCTCCCACATAATTATTTTAGATTCTCAGTTAAGACCACACCTACTACTGAATTCCTTTGAAAGTTACTACAGTGATTTATAGTTACTTTTGTAGATATATATGTAATCTGTAATCTGCTATACAATAACTTTGGTTGTTTTAGTTACATCCAAAAAAAGACATACTTAACCAGTGGTTACCACACACATTCTACATAGTCTCTCAGTTTTTTTTTTTTTAAATCAAATCAGATTTACACCAGACAGCCCCAGTTAAGCATGGCTTTTACCAGAAGGTGGAGCTCACAATCAAGTGATTTCAAAACAGAGCACATGCAAACTGAGAGTCAGTTAGGAGGAAACTGTAAGTCTTGACTCTACAGAACTTTTTGTCTCATTGATAATGTTGCTCCTTGTCCTCATGATATTTACCCTTTGTAAGGGTGAGTAATGCATAAGAATAATTTCCAGATTACTGATTGATTTTGATTGTGTTAATAAACCAACTATTTATATAGTCTTAATTAGTCCATGAATTTAACTGATTGATTGATTTTTTTTTTAAACAGATAATGTTGATGCTGAATTGATAACATCATTCTTCACAAAGCAGCATGTTTTGGCAGGAAGAGATGTTACACTTTCCTGCAACTACAGTGGTAATGTTCGCAGTCTGCAGTGGTACCGTCAGCATCCCGGATCCAAACCTGAAAATATAATTTATTACACTGAGAGCAGCAGTCAGTCAGAGCCCAAGCTTCGTCTGTACGCTGTGGCCGATAAAGGAATCAAACTTATGAATCTGAGCATATCTTCTACACAAATGGATGATTCTGCTCTGTACTACTGTGCTCTGCAGCCCACAGTGACAGGAAACACAACTGCACTGTACAAAAACAGACAATCAGGACACACACTGTAATTACCAAACATTACTAACATGTACCAATGTGTACAATAAGGAAAAATGAAAGAAAGGATAATTAAGAGAGCTAATAACTGCACATCAATCAGTGTAAAGATCTTCGAAACTTGTGGTTATAGTACTTTAACACTGTATATTTTCCACATAGCTTATTGTCCAAAAGAAACATTTTATTTTTTTGTGAAATCATTATATATGATTAAACAGCAGCCATTCTTTTTTTTTAATCTTCATTTTAATTAGAGAGTAAGCTAAAATGTATTCACATACAATCAGTATTTGTAGGGGAAGATGAAAAAGTAGGTTTGTGTGGGAGGAGCTCAAGGTTTTGTCAGCTTCAGCAGAAGAAATCATTAAGACAACACTGACTTTCCTTCATTGAGAAGTCTGAACTCAAACTACAGAATCATGCTACTCATCTCTTCTGTTTTAATTTTTATCCTCAGTTACTGTAAGTACTGTTAGTCATACACATTTTACACCATATTCCAGAATATAAAAAGAACAGAAAGGTTATTGGGTTTCTATATACAAGAGGTTTCCAGGGCCTTTATTACCCACAGAATTATTTTAGATTCACAGTTAAGACCACACATAGAGTATTGTATTCCTTTGAAAGTCACTAAAGTACAGTTGATAGCTGATATGTTGCTGTACAATAACTTTTGGTTGTTTCAGTTACATCCAAAAAAGAATGACATTATACTTAACCAGTGGTTACCACACATTTTTTTAATTATTATTAAATCAGATCAGAGAGTATTACAGTTAAGCATGGCTTTTACCAGAAGGTGGAGCTCACAATCAAGTGATTTCAAAACAGAGCACATGCAAACTGAGAGTCAGTTAGGAGGAAACTGTAAGTCTTGACTCTACAGAACTTTTTGTCTCATTGATAATGTTGCTCCTTGTCCTCATGATATTTACCCTTTGTAAGGGTGAGTAATGCATAAGAATAATTTCCAGATTACTGATTGATTTTGATTGTGTTAATAAACCAACTATTTATATAGTCTTAATTAGTCCATGAATTTAACTGATTGATTGATTTTTTTTTTAAACAGATAATGTTGATGCTGAATTGATAACATCATTCTTCACAAAGCAGCATGTTTTGGCAGGAAGAGATGTTACACTTTCCTGCAACTACAGTGGTAATGTTCGCAGTCTGCAGTGGTACCGTCAGCATCCCGGATCCAAACCTGAAAATATAATTTATTACACTGAGAGCAGCAGTCAGTCAGAGCCCAAGCTTCGTCTGTACGCTGTGGCCGATAAAGGAATCAAACTTATGAATCTGAGCATATCTTCTACACAAATGGATGATTCTGCTCTGTACTACTGTGCTCTGCAGCCCACAGTGACAGGAAACACAACTGCACTGTACAAAAACAGACAATCAGGACACACACTGTAATTACCAAACATTACTAACATGTACCAATGTGTACAATAAGGAAAAATGAAAGAAAGGATAATTAAGAGAGCTAATAACTGCACATCAATCAGTGTAAAGATCTTCGAAACTTGTGGTTATAGTACTTTAACACTGTATATTTTCCACATAGCTTATTGTCCAAAAGAAACATTTTATTTTTTTGTGAAATCATTATATATGATTAAACAGCAGCCATTCTTTTTTTTTAATCTTCATTTTAATTAGAGAGTAAGCTAAAATGTATTCACATACTAGGGCTGGGCGTTATAGCTAAAAAATATATCAACGATATATGTTTCATATCGTTCGAAATTAGACTAATATTAATGTTTTTATTCACAATCTCCTCATCACAGGCAGGCACAGCACTCAATTCAGCATGTGTTCGTGTTTGTGTGAGCCGTCTGCATCACTTATAGTACGTGCCTATATCGTGCGCTATATCGAACATTTTTATATCGTTATCGATGAAGGTGTACTGTTACCGATAAATATCGATACCTTTTTATCGCCCAGGCCTATCACATACAATCAGTATTTGTAGGGGAAGATGAAAAAGTAGGTTTGTGTGGGAGGAGCTCAAGGTTTTGTCAGCTTCAGCAGAAGAAATCAAAGACAACACTGACTTTCCTTCATTGAGAATTCTGAACTCAAACTACAGAAACATGTTACTCATCTCTTCTGTTTTAATTTTTATCCTCAGTTACTGTAAGTACTGCTAGTCATACACATTTTACACCATATTCCAGAATATAAAAAGAGTATACAAATCAAAAACATGCACATTTTTAAATTCATTCTAAACATAATCCATTACATTGCTTGATTATTTATCATCTTTGCGGGTGAATCTAACGGAAATGTCATCAGACCAAACCAGCCATCTGTAGTTTTAACTGAAGGAAGCAGCACCACTCTGTCCTGTTCATATGATGGATCAGCTTACAGTCTCCACTGGTATCGACAGAAGCCTGGTTCAAAACCAGAGTTTCTGCTGCTGATTGTTGAGTCTTCCAAGTTTGTCACCAAAGCTGACTGACCTCATCCACATATGTCCATCAGACTATGATAATGAAAGTGTGGATCTGGAGATCTCCTCTGCTGCTGTATCAGACTCTGCAGTGTATTACTGTGTTCTGCAGCCCACAGTGACAGAAAAACCCGCTACACTGTACAAAAACTTGTTTCTTGCATATTGTATAATAATCATATATTTAAGCCTTCCCTCATGCAGTGTCTCATTATTTTTCCTCCTTCCTTTCTTTACAAGGTGGTCTTTTTTCTGAGAACTACT